TAATCATGTACAAACTTACAATGCTTGCAGTATCAGAGATTTCCTCTTTATGTATAAAAGAGGAATCTAAATTTATGGTGAAATTTAAGTTGATTCTTCAGTAAGTTTTATCATATACGGTTTATATATAATATTTTTTATTTTGCAGTGCAAGGTTTATCAGATTTAATTACTAGTTGATTATAATATCGTAGAGATAAAACCGGTAAACTTACATTAAAGACAAACAGACATGGAAACTGTATATGATTTGGGTCGCAAGATAATAGATTGAAAACATTGTAATATGACCTAATTGATAAATATCAATATTATTAATAATTAAAATAATACATATGCTTAATACATAAACAATCTCTAGAAAGAATCAATTCTGGCATTGTAATTCGTAAAAAGACTTCTTCCCAATTATCTTTCCAAATATTTTGGGTAGTTTAGGTCGAAATGGAATCTGGTACAAGTCTGTACCAATCGATGATAATAATACAGATGGTTGTAAAATCTATATTTTGGAGAAATTTCACAGGGAACATTTGCAAAAGTGTATAAATAATTATTAAATATATATGTTGATCAATAAGTATAATGACTTAAGAATAATAAATAAATAAATTATCAATTGAATGCAGTTTCAATTGCATCATTAAAGTCACACCATACTAGGAATTGAGTGTATACCTTTCAAAGTGATCCAAATTTAGATGTTGGGATTAATTTGTTAATTACATTAATAATTATTAATATAAAGTTGAAAGAAAAAAATTTCAAACTCTAGTGATTTATTCCAGTGATACAATTCTCTTTTTTCTCATAAAAACCTGTACCTAAACCTGTCTTATGTACTATGTAACGCGTTTTTATTTAATATTTACGCGTAGTAGTAGGTTGGTTTCATAAAATTTAATCAATAATGAATTTTTAGCTAATTATCTATATGTACATACAAATTACTTTTTGGGAAATTTCAGCTAGATTGAACTCATAGTAGTTATTAATTTATTAATTTTTGGTTACGATTTTATTAATGTTTTTTGTACGACTGGAAAAATTTCAAGAAAATAAAAATAATGCGCAACATTGTAATTTTAGGAGGTTCTTCTCACCCACAATTAGCTGAACAAATCGCCTTAATGGTTGGTGTACAACTTGGGCGTGTCAAGTTATCAAAATTTTCAAATAAAGAAACAAATGTAGAAATTCAAGAAAGTGTTAGAGAGAAAGATGTTTATATTATTCAATCAGGTTGTGGACATGTTAATGATAACTTTATGGAGCTTTTGATTATGATATCAGCATGTAAAACTGCTTCTGCTGCTAGAGTAACTGCTGTGATTCCTTGTTTTCCATATGCAAGACAACCAGATGCTCCCTATAAAAGAAATGGGGCTCCTTTATCGCGTATGCCTAAAAATAATTTTACAGATTATACATATGACACACCAGCTATACTTGGTTCAATTCCTACATCACCATCATCATCTGAAGTAAAGGATCCTCTCAGCGTTGCTTTTAATAAATTTAGCGTTCAAGATTTGCCATCGAAAAATTCAGATAATAATGATGATGATAGTGATAGTGGTTATAAACATTGGATTGCACGATCTGGAACCCTTATAGCAAATCTTTTAACATGTGCAGGTTATTATGTTTCTGTGATGAAAATGTACTGACTTAGATTTTTCAAATAATCCTATTTCGCATAGACAATTAATCATTATTATTCTAATAGGAGCTGATCATATTATGACTATTGATCTTCATGATCCTCAATTTCAAGGATATTTTGATGTACCTGTCGACAATCTATACAGTGAACCATTAATGATCAAATACATAAAAGAAAATATTCCAAATTGGAACAATGCAATAATCATATCTCCAGATGCAGGTGGTGCTAAAAGGTAAATTAACTAAATGAAAACTATTGAACTTGATTTTAATTATTATTATTTCAATTAAAAAATACTCTGTATTATTATACTAATTAAAATATCTAAATAATTACTCTGTGTTCTTTCCCTATATTATTATTATTAGAGCTACTTCCATTGCTGATAAACTTCGGATTGATTTTGCACTTATTCATAAAGAACGACGTTCTCAACATGCACCCCACAAAATGGATATGATGTTAGTTGGAGATGTTAAGGATAAAATATGTATTCTGATTGATGATATCTCAGATACATCATACACCATTACTAAAGCTGCTCAAATACTTATTGAAAATGGAGCAAAAAAAATTTATGCGCTTATTACTCATGGGATTTTAAGCGGTGATGCTATTCAACGAATACAGTCCAGTGTTATTGATCAGGTTATTGTCAGTAATAGTGTTCCACAGGATGAACATAAAGCACAATGTTCAAAAATTAAGGTTTTTAATGTTGCTCTTATTCTTGCTGAGGCAATCAGAAGAATACATAATGGTGAGAGTGTTAGTGCTTTATTTAGTCGAGTGGATACAATATAATCAGAAATATTATTAATTTAAATTTGACCAAGTTATATATAATAAATCTACAAGTCATAAAAAAACAATGATTCATTGCTTATAATTATCATCCAAATGTATGCATACTTATATTTAACTTTCCACTTTTCTTGGGTAAATAATAATAATAAATTTAATCAAATCCAAAGAAAGATGCATTTTAATTAAAAATATTTAAAGAAAAGCAACAACGCATAATATAATAATTTTAATAATAATGATAATTAATTAATTATAGATCTTTTGATTTTCCAGTATTGTCATCTGTTAAACAACCAATCTAGTATCATATTTTTGTGAATAATGGTAGATTTAGTTGTTGAAATTTTCGTCATCTGGTTTTCTATATAAAAATTACTAATACTAATATTATTACTATGATCTTTGTTTAGTGTAAAGATGATCCTTCCTAAAAAGTCAACGTTATTTTCTTTATAGGTAAGATGTTCACGTTTCAAAATTACACATCTAAACTCGATAAGTCGGACATTTATTTATATTATAAAGTACTTAAACAATTGATTGCTGCGTCCGACTTATCGAGTTTAGATGTGTATCATGCCAAATGGAAAATAATTTTTTGTATATTTTTCTACGCATTTGTTCATTACTTTTCTCTCCATTTGCTTCATGCAACTTCTTCCCCACTCCAAAACTCCATTTTCCCATTATTGGCTGTGTATATCCTTTAACTCCTCCAAAAAATAGAAATGTATCATAGAATTAAAGCCAAGATCTTTCTCTACAAATCTATGATTTCATTTGTTTGATATGCCAAATTACCATGGAGGAATTATGCTCAAAGTTGCACAAGTTAACCCTGAAAGTGGCATGTTACATGATTTTTTATATCAAAAATAATGAATTAGAAAATTAGAAAATTTCAAAAGCAAATTTTAAAGGTGACTTACATAATGAATAAACAAGTTATTACATGAACTATGTAATATACTCAATAAAACAGGTGATTGAGCTTTAAAAAATCCAATGAAATTTTTTTTTATTATATGTAACAAACTCATGCAACTTTGAGGCTTAATTCCTCCATGTAACATGATATAGAATTGTAGAGAAAGGTCTTGGCTTTAATTCTATGATTTGTTTTTTGGTCATACACTTCTATTTTTGGAGGAGTTAAAGAATATACACAGCCAATTAAAAGTTCAGCAACTAAGTGGTTTGCACTATAGATAAATTTCTCAATTTTAGGTAAAAGCATACTTTGAGCAAATCAATAGATTAAGAAAAACGTTTAATGGATTAAGAAAATATCCTTAAACAGTTTTTCAGCTATTGATATATAGCTGAAATTTTTTTTTCTGTTATAAAAACTTTCTCTGAGGGTATCACTTCCTAATACAAAAATGATCTTTGAGATCCAGCTGACTGATCTATAAATAAAAATTCATAAAATCTTTAAAACTGGTCAATCAACTATTTTTACTTTGCTGATCATCAAATTGATCAATAAGAATGCAAAGATCATGATCAAAAAAATTATTTTGTGTTACAATTAACCATTAGAACTTCCAATTGGAATTGGAATATTCCAAATGTGGTTCCAATAAAACTAACCAATGAAATTCAATTTTCATTTGTCAATATCAATTGTAGATCTACATTAGAACATTCCAATATTGTTACAATGTTCCAATTGCACAACATTGCCATTAAAGAATACTCTGACCATTTAAGGGATAAGTTTGAAGGTATTTATTTCAATTATTCATTTGTGACATATAAAACATAGGAATGATTGACAAAGTGGCATATATTCTAATTCCAAATTGGAAAGATTTTTGACTGTACTATATAGCATGGTGGAAAACCTATTTTTCATGTAACATAATAAATTTACATTGTTTTAAAGTAGAATTACACTAAATGCTGGAATTTTTCAAAGCTGTTGGAAATCTACTGATCTTCACCACAAAGAATTTATGCATTTTTTGAGGACCTGCAAACTATATAAATAGGTCACTGCCACAGCTGGGTCAAATCCCATAGTAAAATTTACCAAATTTGGCAAGATTGTCTCTAAAAAGCCAATCACAGTGTGGGTCAAACCCTACATATTGAAAACCTTAAATCATGAAGTCCAGATCCATATGATAATAATTGGTGTCAATGAAGATAATTCAGGAAAAATAATTAATAAAACAGTTATACATCTCATTACTAAGTTTCCAGATGCACACCTTCAATGTTGATTAAGTTTGATTCACATAATTCAATTTTTTTTCAGAGTAAGAGTTGCAAATAATCGTGGCAAAGTACTGTAAAATAGTAAATTATGAATTATGGATCACGGGAAAATCGATAAATAAATCGAAAATGATTTATGAAAGTACGAAAAGAAAATTGGGAAGTAAATATTCTAACACTCTAAAATTTAACGGGCCTTTAATTTTCAGATTTAATTTAAACAAAGGAAATTAAATGAATAAGATCACTTTAGAAAAACTTGAAAACGATTCTACACGGAAGGTTCAAATATTGTTTAAGGAATACATTTAATTATAACAAATTAGGATTTCAAAGAAATTGAAACCTAGATGATTGAACCTTTAACATGTATAAATAACATTATAATTTTCTTAACTTCATGTATCATCCCCATTCTTATCATCATTAATGTCATAATAATCATTTAATAAATAACAAACTGTCCTTATCTTTGACCTTGACCTTGTTATTTTCTTTGAATTTATATTTTCGTGATAATAATAAATCTAACCCCGCACATAATTAATTTTCTCTTATTTTATATTTGTCTATTTTTATTATTGTTTTTTATTATTTTTCTTTTCTTTTAGTAAGGTAATGTTCAATAAATATTATTTAGTGAAGTTACCTGACTTGGTAACACAGGCATGGTACCCGCAAATAAACGTGATCAGGATATAGTGTGAAATCTAAATAAGATATTGTTTAGTATTGCTTAGCAAGAAACTGTTTAACGATATTCTTGAAAGTAAAGAATAAATATGCATTGTTGTTACAATTTAGTATAAATAAATTGGGGGTATTTGTATTATTATAATTATTATATTAACATTATCAACATTAAATAAATTATTCTCTTGCGAGACTCGGACACGACTTCACAATACCAAAAGTTTATGTTGATATTGAGTAATTCTTTCCTTGAAAAACATGGATGTATTATGGATTGGCCTAAATCCGGAATGAGGCTTCATTGTGGGAAGGATTTCTACATCGCAGTTACTATGCATAGAGTTGAAAATGCGTGAATTGCAAGACAGAGTAACTGCTGTGATTCCTTGTTTTCCATATGCAAGACAACCAGATGCTCCCTATAAAAGAAATGGGGCTCCTTTATCGCGTATGCCTAAAAATAATTTTACAGATTATACATATGACACACCAGCTATACTTGGTTCAATTCCTACATCACCATCATCATCTGAAGTAAAGGATCCTCTCAGCGTTGCTTTTAATAAATTTAGCGTTCAAGATTTGCCATCGAAAAATTCAGATAATAATGATGATGATAGTGATAGTGGTTATAAACATTGGATTGCACGATCTGGAACCCTTATAGCAAATCTTTTAACATGTGCAGGTTATTATGTTTCTGTGATGAAAATGTACTGACTTAGATTTTTCAAATAATCCTATTTCGCATAGACAATTAATCATTATTATTCTAATAGGAGCTGATCATATTATGACTATTGATCTTCATGATCCTCAATTTCAAGGATATTTTGATGTACCTGTCGACAATCTATACAGTGAACCATTAATGATCAAATACATAAAAGAAAATATTCCAAATTGGAACAATGCAATAATCATATCTCCAGATGCAGGTGGTGCTAAAAGGTAAATTAACTAAATGAAAACTATTGAACTTGATTTTAATTATTATTATTTCAATTAAAAAATACTCTGTATTATTATACTAATTAAAATATCTAAATAATTACTCTGTGTTCTTTCCCTATATTATTATTATTAGAGCTACTTCCATTGCTGATAAACTTCGGATTGATTTTGCACTTATTCATAAAGAACGACGTTCTCAACATGCACCCCACAAAATGGATATGATGTTAGTTGGAGATGTTAAGGATAAAATATGTATTCTGATTGATGATATCTCAGATACATCATACACCATTACTAAAGCTGCTCAAATACTTATTGAAAATGGAGCAAAAAAAATTTATGCGCTTATTACTCATGGGATTTTAAGCGGTGATGCTATTCAACGAATACAGTCCAGTGTTATTGATCAGGTTATTGTCAGTAATAGTGTTCCACAGGATGAACATAAAGCACAATGTTCAAAAATTAAGGTTTTTAATGTTGCTCTTATTCTTGCTGAGGCAATCAGAAGAATACATAATGGTGAGAGTGTTAGTGCTTTATTTAGTCGAGTGGATACAATATAATCAGAAATATTATTAATTTAAATTTGACCAAGTTATATATAATAAATCTACAAGTCATAAAAAAACAATGATTCATTGCTTATAATTATCATCCAAATGTATGCATACTTATATTTAACTTTCCACTTTTCTTGGGTAAATAATAATAATAAATTTAATCAAATCCAAAGAAAGATGCATTTTAATTAAAAATATTTAAAGAAAAGCAACAACGCATAATATAATAATTTTAATAATAATGATAATTAATTAATTATAGATCTTTTGATTTTCCAGTATTGTCATCTGTTAAACAACCAATCTAGTATCATATTTTTGTGAATAATGGTAGATTTAGTTGTTGAAATTTTCGTCATCTGGTTTTCTATATAAAAATTACTAATACTAATATTATTACTATGATCTTTGTTTAGTGTAAAGATGATCCTTCCTAAAAAGTCAACGTTATTTTCTTTATAGGTAAGATGTTCACGTTTCAAAATTACACATCTAAACTCGATAAGTCGGACATTTATTTATATTATAAAGTACTTAAACAATTGATTGCTGCGTCCGACTTATCGAGTTTAGATGTGTATCATGCCAAATGGAAAATAATTTTTTGTATATTTTTCTACGCATTTGTTCATTACTTTTCTCTCCATTTGCTTCATGCAACTTCTTCCCCACTCCAAAACTCCATTTTCCCATTATTGGCTGTGTATATCCTTTAACTCCTCCAAAAATAGAAATGTATAGCCAAAAAAAACAGTGAACACTTGTATTACCAAGAATTTCAGGGATCAAAATTTAGTCATTTGTAATGTGATTATAATCAACAGTTTTATAATATTAATATCCCATTTGTTATCTTAAGTGATATATAGAACTATCCCTAATATTGTATATATTAATATGTAAATTATATCAGATCTACTATGGAAGAAAGAACAAGGAGACATTCAGACACTTGAAACTTATCTAAGAAAAGAAAGGATCACCTATGAAATTTATCAAGAAGAAAGAAAAATAATAAACACTAAGAAAAGAACATTAAACACAGGACCACAAAGAACCCAGAAAGAAAAGAAAATCAGCAGAGAAATAATTTGCTGTCTAATTTTAGAATAATATTATCTTTTAAAGATTAATTCGTAATCTGTGAAACAACTGCAAAAATTTGCTGATCATTAATACAGTCCGGGTTCTTTCCAAATTTAGGTATAGAAATTTGCGCCTCTTTGTCGATCAATTCATATATTTTTCATATGTTACAAACGAGTTAACGTGATACTTTGTGCTTGTTGAAAAAAAATTTTTTTTAAAAAAATTACTATTATAATTATTTAAATAAATACTACAATATTTTCTCTTCCATAATCTGTTAAAAATCTATAAAAATCTATTGTTTTCCTCAAAGTATACTTTGTTTAAAATTCAAGAAATTCTGTAACAGAAGTTCAAATGATTTGGTTTTTTACTCAATTTACTAACTTATTTATTTTATTTTTTAATTTTAGTGAATAAAATGCTCGCTAGTGACTTACCTTGTTTACTTGTTCAAAAATATCAAATTGAAACCATGTGATGATACTAATAGTGATGATAGATGAGCATCAGGAAATAAAGCAAGCAAATGAGCATGTAAAAATATTTGATAATTATTCAATCTGTGTTATCAAATTGTTACTTCTAATTTTCTTGAAAAATTAAAAGCAGAGGACAATCCTTCAAGAGAAAGCCAACGGAAATGACTTAAATAACTATTGATGAAGATGCAGAAGAACACTGTAAACGTAATTCTTGGTTTATTTCAATATGGAACTCAAATACAATTTTTTTTACATAATAATAATAAATGCAATAGTTAAGTTCTAATTTCCAACCTTTAAATGTTTATTACATATTTTGTTTATAGAAAAGTATTAACTTCAAATTTGCTTTTTAAAGATTATTTTCATAATAATAATAAACATTTTACCTAATAATATTAATATATTAATATATATTGCTGGATGAAATAGAAGAGAAGATCATATCAAACAAAATTATTGACATTTATTTGATATCTTCAAATAAAAAACAAATTCGCGTAACAGACTCTTTTCAAGAATGGGCTATTAATAAAATGGAGTTAATTTGGTTTTTTTAATATTTTTAAAGGTTAGCTACAATCTGTTACGCGATCATCTTTTTTTTATTATATTTATTTTTAGAAAATAGAAATTATTTTTATTTGGCATATTATTATTCAATTTAATGAATTTAATTATCAAATCATTTGGAATAAGTTAAATATTAACAAAATATATTTACATTGGGCAAGTTATAATGATGATAATAATAATAATTTTATTTTTTTTATTAACCAACTTGTATCCATGGCATTATGATTATTGCCACTACCACCATAATTACCATCACTACCACACAACCCTTTAGAGCTTTATTCTGAAATATTCAAACCTTGCTTGATGTACTATGCCAAAGGTTTATAATATTAATAAATAAATTTCTTTATTATTTCTCCAATTCTTTGTATTCATAATTATCAAACAATAAATTAACTATTATTATTATTATTATTATTATTT